AAAGAAAACTGTAATGTTTGAATGTTTTGTGTAGAATGTGTTTAGGGAGCATCCTCATTTTATGAATCCTTTTTTGTACAATTATCTCCAGAGGCTCCAGAACAGAATATAGTAAGCTGCCAGCTTTACAGATGAAGACTCCACTACAAGCTTATTACTCTAGTGTTTGCCATACTTTGCTGTAAGCACCGAATTACCTAAGCTACCTCAACACAGTCTGCTCTGACACTTCTTGTGCAGCTTTACTGATGTGTATCTTTTGTACAGGGTTCTCGCCAGTGGACTTCAATGAAGCAGGGAGATATTTGTATCATATTTGTCCCTGCAAAATTTTTTATGGATTTATGGGAATATTGACCCTTTCACTGACACCTGGGTCTATGTCAAGCATGTTTCACCACAAAATCTGTTTGTGCTGAAAGCTGTCAAAGTAAAACTCAAATTAGGCTGATACACAGATTTTTAATGGAAGTAAAGGCCACTGAAACTATGCTTTTAAATCCATTAACCTCCTTATTGCAGTTATACCCGAGAAAAGAGATTTGAAAACATATAACCCAGTCTGGTTACCCACAAGCAGTCAACTTCATGTGCTACTGCCCCGCCAGCAGACAGAAGGCTAGCTCTTAAAGCAGGAGTGAAGATCAGAAGGATTCTCAAATGGTCGGTCTGTCAAGCCGAAACCGATTGATGGTCAGAATTTTTCCCCAACCCTTAAAAAATCTGTATTGCTGTTCCAATACAAGTTACCTTTGTGTGGCTGCAGGTGCATCGGAACAACATGTCTGGGTCAGTCTGATTAATTGCATATTAAGGGGAGATAAGAACATTGCTTCCAACACTGAGAAAAGATTGAAAGAAGGAGTGAGCTTAGTTAGCAAAAGAAAGAGGATATGGATGCAACATAGAAAAAAAAAAAAACTTTCCTCTTCAAACTTGCCCATTAAAAATCCTTGTGAGAACCCTGGTATAGTCCATTTTCCAGGTGAATGTCAGTGTAATTACGACTTAATCACCTCAACCTTTTCTCCAATTTTGAAGCACTGTTGAATACAGGAAGTTGACAGCTTGAGATAGGCACCAGCACCCCTCGCGACCCCTATTGGGATTGACGTGACTGAAAATGGATGCATGATTTCAGCCATTAAAAGGAGAAATTAAAGTTTTTGAATCAATATATCAGAATAAATATAACGGAGCTAAGCCAATATGCTGTAACCTTGAGCGAGACAATCTTCGATTTCTAGTTCACTGATTACGAAAAGTGGCAACCTTTAGTTTGTGGACAGAATAAGCCTTTTGCAGCT